CGCCACCATCGAATAGAGCCACCAACACCACAATATAAGCGTCGCCGCCAACACCAGATCCAACGCAATGGAGCCACCATTGAATAGCAGAAAATACCACTACAGCCGCACATACACACACACACACCCAGACCCAACCACCGCAACACCATGTCGTCATTAGAACCACCGACACCAACAACACCACCAACGCCCAAATTCATTGCACAAATACACCACAGCAAAATACTACCACTTCAACCAAAGAAAAAAAAATAAAACATATCCAAAAAATTCTAGATCCAAATTATTGTCACCACCACCTTGCCGATGCCACCTCCATCACACCCCAAGTAGATTAACCAAAACTATTGCAAAAGTAGATCTAATCAGAATTAAAGTGCTTTAGTGCAGCTATATATATATATATATAAAACAGATTTTCTAATTTATATTTCTCATTTTAATTTATGAATGATTGGTACAATTTTAGAATGAGTAAAATATTAAAATGTTCTATGTAAGCTGTGTTGTATAAATTCAGACATAACACACTAAAATAACAGCAACTCAACATTTCGACTTCCTGGACATAACAAAGTGATTTTTGCTACTCCAATGACCAATGATTTCATTGATCGAATTTTAAAGTGATTTTTGCTGCTCAATATTAAAGTGATTTTTGTACCTCCAGCGTGAGAGTCAATGGTCAAATTTATGTAGATAATTATAACTTTTAGAGAAAAAGGAGAAGAACTCGACTATATGGTAAAAAGATCCCATATATCTGGTACGTCTTTGGGATATTTATAAGTGTCTTATTGCCATGCAACTATCAAGCAGTTGCAATCCACTTGTCTACGGTTTATTATCACTTACTAGATGATTAAGAGAATCAGAGGTAATCATTAGACAATTACCAATCAATAAAAAATACGATTGAGAGATATGATGGTCGATCGAGCTTTCTAGTGGTTGATCAATCACCATGGTAGTCGATCGACCGTTCTAGTCCAGTTTTTCATCACATCAATTACTTATATCACCTAGCATTATTAGCCTCTCTATTTTTTGACAATGGTTATCATTAAAAGGTAGCATTTCCATTCCCTCATGTTTCAAGAACAATTTTATATTCCAATATTTTTTTATTTTTATTTTTAAATACCCCCATTGCGTATCACTAATTGGTGGAATGCAAGTGGGTCGACTACACCAAATGGTGATGGTTATAGGCTTAATCACTTTTGGCATTTGTGCACCATTTGTCTTCCTTGTAAATACTAGGAGCCTCGTACATCTTCAAGGTAGTTTCTTCATCTCCTCTCTTTCATAAAATTCCTTTCCTTTTTGGCAAAATTCCGCTCGATTTTTATGTATAAAGTAGTACTCTCTTCTTGTCCTAGCCAAAAAAATTTCAAAATCCTCTTCTTCTACATCAATTGGGCCACTTTTTACTTTATTCAAGTAATGGTGAAAGTGAGAGTGAAAACAAGAGTGAGAGGGAA